TTAATTTAAAAAATAAAAGATTTAAATCTACTGAACAGAAAAGGTATCCAACTATCAATAAAATTAGTCCTTTTTGTAGTGCGTTTTCAATCCTTTTTTGCTCACAAAAACCTAACAATAAAAGCAAAACAAAATGCATTAGTTAAAATAAAGATTTTATTAAAAATTTGAATTATGACAGTTACTTCTGGATAACATTATAATTTAAAATTTAATTTAAAAAATAAAAGATTTAAATCTACTGAACAGAAAAGGTATCCAACTATCAATAAAATTAGTCCTTTTTGTAGTGCGTTTTCAATCCTTAGGCCTTAAAGTTTTTTAACCTTAATAGCAGTAAATTTTAATAAATAAACATTAGTACGGAGTGATTCTATTGTGGCTGAAAGTCCCCCATATCAACAAAGTCTTGGTTAAATGTTAAATTTACTCCCCTATGAAATGCACATTTTTGGTCCCTCAATAATTTTTTACACTTTTTTTGATCCTTCAACTATACGAAATGCACTCCGTTAGTCCTTTCGTCAATTTGGGCCGTTAACTCTGTGGTGTGGCATTTTCATATTTTTTTTCATGACATGGAGAAAGCAACCTAAAAAGATACTAATATGGACAAAACATTATGCCACGTAATATTATCACAAATCAAACGCACTAAAACCTGCAAAGAACTATGAACCCTGGAATGCTTCAGAGCAAAATTTGAGTTCTCTGTCATCAAATCCAGTTACTGGTTTCATTAAAGCCACTGAGTTTATCAAGGCAGTAGATCTCATCAAATCAAATTAACCATTCAATAAACAATATCAATTAAACTCTAATCCAATTCTAACAAAAATGCAATCAAATTGTAAATCAACTCCCAAATTTATCATGAACTGGAAATGAAAATTGAAAGAAGAATGAAAAAACATGAACCCAACGTCAAAACCCAGCCTCGACGAAACCAGCAACCCAGCCTTGCTAGTCGTGTGAACCCAGCAACTAGGTTCATCGGAACCTAGCCTTGTTGGTCGCACGAACCCAACTGCTGGGTTTCGACGAACCCAGCAAGGTTGGGTTCGAGCAACCAGCAAGGCTGGGTTTTGACAAACCCAACAGCTGGGTTCATCTTGCTTGAACCCAAATCTACGAGGTTTTCTTCATTTTACTTAAACCTAGATCTACAAGGTTTGTTCATCTTGCTTGAATCCAGATCTTGCTCAAACCCAGATTTTAGAAAAAAAAAGTCAAACAAAGGATAGGAGGGGATGGGAGGGGAAGGGACGAGAAGTTGGCACCAGAAAAAGGAAAAGAGAAGGAGAAGCTACTAATGACAAGGAGAGGGAGCGAGAAGTTGTCGAAGTTTAGAGTTAATGAAAAAAGGGGAGAAAAGAGGAAATCAAGAGAAGAAGATGAAGTTAAGGGCATTTATGTAATTTTGAAGTTTTTATTATTTATTAAATAAAGTGGGTAAAGTTTATTTGCAACATGGCATAAGTTTTAGTCCAAATAAGCATATTTTTCTACTTGTATTATCCATGTCATCAAACAAAATATAAAAAATGCCACATGAGCGGATTTAACGGCTCAAATTGACGGAAGGACTAACGTTGTGCATTTCTTAGAGTTGAGGGATCAAAAAAGTGCAACTCTATAAAGTTGAGGGACCAAATTTAGCATTTAACGTAAAGTCTTTGATTCCCTGTCCCTTTCCGTGTAGAGGAAAAGGTACAATTGGATTTTAAGCCTTTAAATTTACATGATTATAACTTTTAAGTTAGGTTAAACTTCCATTTTGGTCCCTCAACTATTGTATGGATCCATGATTTAATTCTTTAACTCAAAAAATCCTTGATTTGTTCCCTATTGTTTACCATTTTAACCTCAACTTTGTTCTTTTGTTAAAAATCTCACAACGTGACCTGTTAATTCATGACTACATGATGACATTTCAAATTTTAATCTGCGTGGAAAGACAACATGACAAAAAATGATGACATGAAAAAAAATAATAATATGACAAAAAAAAACTTAAAAAATTCTTTCCATTTTTTTCTCCTTCTCTTTCCTTTTCTCTTTCCCATTGGAACCCAACACACTTGGGTTCGATGGAACCTAGGCACGAGTTCTTTAGAACCTAGGCACAAGTTCTTTTGAACCTAGGCTCGATAAAACCTAGGCGTAGGTTCTTTCAAACCCAGGTTCAATGGTTTCGAACCCAAGGACAAAAACTTTAAAAAAAATTCTGTTTATTATTTTTTTTTAATGGGTTTTGTAGTTTGATGATGATGATGAAGGCAAGGCAAGGAAAAGGAAGGAAAAAGAAAGGGTGCCTGCTGGGTTCGATGGGAGAGCTCTATTATTCTAGGGTTCGAATGGGAAGAAAAAGGGAGAAGGGTTCAGTTTATGCAAGTGGTGGGCCCCATCTTTTTTTTTTTTTGTTTGGTTCTAAGTGACAACGAAACATATCACACTACCATGTCATCTTTTTTTCCAGGTGTACATCTGACGTATCATACTATTTTGACATGTCATCATGCTCCCGTTAATTAATGGGATATATCACTAGATTTTTAATGGAAAGACCAAGTTAGAGCCAAATCAATAAACAATATGGACCAAATCAGAGATTTTTTGAGTTAAGGGACTAAATCGGGGATCCATACAATAATTGAGTAATCGAAATGAGGGTTTAGCCTTTAAGTTACTAAATTTAAAGGACATTATTTAAGTCTTTAAAATCAAATAAAATCATTTTAATTTAAGACATTAAGTTTTAGACTTTTTAGGTTTAATAATTATAATGGAAATGTTTAATATTTAACATGAATTTAAGGTATTAAGATTTAAATTTTTAAGATTTAGTGTTTAGATCATTAGAGTTTTTTTTTTTTCAAATTCAAATTTTAAAATATTAGGATTTAAAATTTTTAATATTCAATATTTTAGAGTGTTATAGTTTGCAATTTTAGTTATGATTGCAAATAAAAATCAATTAGAACTAAAATTTTTTTAAAAAAAAGTAAGGTTTAAACAATAAAAAATTTAGAGTGAAAGAGAAAAAAAATGTTTTAAGAACTGTTGGTCCCCAATTGGCTTGGGACCTTCAGTCCACCCATAGCAGCACCCTTAAATTTCAACCTTTTTTAATTATCTTATAATTTTACTGTATTATAAAAATTATTAAAATTTTTAATATATATTAAATAAATATTTAATAGACATTTCAAAGTTCTCAATAAATCTTTAATAAATATTAAAAAATATCAAATAGTTCTTTTAAAATCTTCAATAAATATAAAATAAATACATAATAGGTTTTTTAAAATCCAAACTCAATCATCTTTTACTATATTATAAAAATAGCTAAAATCTTTAACAAATTTACAATAAAAACCCAACAAACTTTTAAAATTTTTAATAAA